GTGTGTGTATATACAGCGTGGACTGATATGTATCTCAGAACTCAGCACATACTCTAAACTGGAGACACATCACTACCTGTGTGTGTATATACAGCGTGGACTGATATGTGGCTCAGCACTCAGCACATACACTAAACTGGAGACACATCACTACCTGTGTGTATATACAGCGTGGACTGATATGTGGCTCAGCACTCAGCACATACCCTAACTGGAGACACATCACTACCTGTGTGTGTATATACAACGTGGACTGATATGTATCTCAGAACTCAGCACATACACTAAACTGGAGACACATCACTACCTGTGTGTGTATATACAACGTGGACTGATATGTGGCTCAGCACTCAGCACATACACTAAACTGGAGACACATCACTACCTGTGTGTATATACAGCGTGGACTGATATGTGGCTCAGCACTCAGCACATACCCTAACTGGAGACACATCACTACCTGTGTGTGTATATACAACGTGGACTGATATGTATCTCAGAACTCAGCACATACACTAAACTGGAGACACATCACTACCTGTGTGTGTATATACAGCGTGGGCTGATATGTATCTCAGAACTCAGCACATGCACTAAACTGGAGACACACCACTATCTGTGTGTGTGTATATACAGCGTGGACTGATATGTATCTCAGAACTCAGCACATACTCTAAACTGGAGACTCATCACTATCTGTGTGTGTATATACAGCGTGGACTGATATGTATCTCAGAACTCAGCACATACACTAAACTGGAGACACACCACTATCTGTGTGTGTATATACAGCGTGGACTGATATGTATCTCAGCACTCAGCACATACACTAAACTGGAGACACACCACTACCTGTGTGTGTATATACAGCGTGGACTGATATGTATCTCAGCACTCAGCACATACACTAAACTGGAGACTCATCACTATCTGTGTGTGTATATACAGCGTGGACTGATATGTGTCTCAGAACTCAGCACATACACTAAACTGGAGACACATCACTATCTGTGTGTGTATATACAGCGTGGACTGATATGTGGCTCAGCACTTAGCACATACACTAAACTGGAGACACATCACTACCTGTGTGTATATACAGCGTGGACTGATATGTGGCTCAGCACTCAGCACATACACTAAACTGGAGACACATCACTACCTGTGTGTGTATATACAACGTGGACTGATATGTGGCTCAGCACTCAGCACATACACTAAACTGGAGACACATCACTACCTGTGTGTGTATATACAACGTGGACTGATATGTGGCTCAGCACTCAGCACATACACTAAACTGGAGACTCATCACTATCTGTGTGTGTATATACAGCGTGGACTGATATGTATCTCAGCACTCAGCACATACACTAAACTGGAGACTCATCACTATCTGTGTGTGTATATACAGCGTGGACTGATATGTGTCTCAGAACTCAGCACATACACTAAACTGGAGACACATCACTACCTGTGTGTATATACAGCGTGGACTGATATGTGGCTCAGCACTCAGCACATACACTAAACTGGAGACACATCACTACCTGTGTGTATATATACAGCGTGGACTGATATGTGGCTCAGCACTCAGCACATACCCTAAACTGGAGACTCATCACTACCTGTGTGTGTATATACAACGTGGACTGATATGTATCTCAGAACTCAGCACATACACTAAACTGGAGACACATCACTACCTGTGTGTGTATATATACAACGTGGACTGATATGTGGCTCAGCACTCAGCACATACACTAAACTGGAGACACATCACTACCTGTGTGTATATACAGCGTGGACTGATATGTGGCTCAGCACTCAGCACATACCCTAAACTGGAGACACATCACTACCTGTGTGTGTATATACAACGTGGACTGATATGTATCTCAGCAGAACTCAGCACATACACTGGAACTGGAGACACATCACTACCTGTGTGTGTATATACAGCGTGGGCTGATATGTATCTCAGAACTCAGCACATACACTAAACTGGAGACACATCACTATCTGTGTGTGTATATACAGCGTGGACTGATATGTATCTCAGAACTCAGCACATACACTAAACTGGAGACTCATCACTATCTGTGTGTGTATATACAGCGTGGACTGATATGTATCTCAGAACTCAGCACATACACTAAACTGGAGACACACCACTATCTGTGTGTGTATATACAGCGTGGGCTGATATGTATCTCAGCACTCAGCACATACACTAAACTGGAGACACATCACTATCCTGTGTGTATATATACAGCGTGGACTGATATGTATCTCAGCACTCAGCACATACTCTAAACTGGCGACTCATCACTATCTGTGTGTGTATATACAGCGTGGACTGATATGTATCTCAGAACTCAGCACATACACTAAACTGGAGACACATCACTATCTGTGTGTGTATATACAGCGTGGACTGATATGTGGCTCAGCACTCAGCACATACACTAAACTGGAGACACATCACTACCTGTGTGTATATACAGCGTGGACTGATATGTGGCTCAGCACTCAGCACATACACTAAACTGGAGACACATCACTACCTGTGTGTGTATATACAACGTGGACTGATATGTGGCTCAGCACTCAGCACATACACTAAACTGGAGACACATCACTACCTGTGTGTGTATATACAACGTGGACTGATATGTATCTCAGCACTCAGCACATACACTAAACTGGAGACTCATCACTATCTGTGTGTGTATATACAGCGTGGACTGATATGTATCTCAGCACTCAGCACATACTCTAAACTGGCGACTCATCACTATCTGTGTGTGTATATACAGCGTGGACTGATATGTGTCTCAGAACTCAGCACATACACTAAACTGGAGACACATCACTATCTGTGTGTGTATATACAGCGTGGACTGATATGTGGCTCAGCACTCAGCACATACACTAAACTGGAGACACATCACTACCTGTGTGTATATACAGCGTGGACTGATATGTGGCTCAGCACTCAGCACATACCCTAACTGGAGACACATCACTACCTGTGTGTGTATATACAACGTGGACTGATATGTGGCTCAGCACTCAGCACATACACTAAACTGGAGACACATCACTACCTGTGTGTGTATATACAACGTGGACTGATATGTGGCTCAGCACTCAGCACATACACTAAACTGGAGACTCATCACTATCTGTGTGTACATACAGAGTGGACTGATATGTATCTCAGAACTCACACATACACTAAACTGGAGACACAACACTATATGTGTGTGTATATACAGCGTGGACTGATATGTATCTCAGAACTCACAAATACACTAAACTGGAGACACATCACTATCTGTGTGTGTATATACAACGTGGACTGACATCTATCTCAGCATTCACACATACACTAAACTGGAGACACATCACTTTATGTGTTGTATATACAGCGTGGGCTGATATGTATCTCAGAACTCACACATACACTAAACTGGAGACTCATCACTATCTGTGTGTGTATATACAGCGTGGACTGATATGTGTCTCAGCACTCAGCACATACACTAAACTGGACACTCATCACTATCTGTGTGTGTATATACAGCGTGGACTGACATCTATCTCAGCATTCACGCATGCACTTAACTGGAGACACATCACTATCTGTGTTTGTATATACAGCGTGGACTGATATGTATCTCAGCACTCAGCACATACATGTGTGTGTGTGGGGTGGTGTGTATGGGGGTGTGTGCGTGCGTGCGTAGTGCGCAGCGTGGACTGCTATGTACCTCAGCACATCAACTGGACTGGAGAGTAATCAAAACCAAACTGTCTTGTGACAGAGATAAGAATGATGTGATGATGATATGATATATATGATGGATCTTATGATGAGAATAATAGAGAAGAAAACATGATGTGATGTATGTTCTTTGATGTCGTTTTCTTCACAGTTCGTCTTTGGTAAAATAGTTTGGTTCCAGACAATGCTAGAAAACATATTGACCTCTATCGCGGTTGAGTGGTTGAGTGTGAGTGACGGAGGGAGAAAATACCCGCAATATGTGCAGTCGGTTACTAATAAGCTAGCATTGGCCACTGTTGGCTCAAAACATGAGCACAGAACCACGGTCTGTACACAAGCACGTATTCACTGTTGGGCCAAAATGTATCCCAACACGAGCTGATTTCGACGTTCTGGTGATTTCGACGATTGCATTGTTCGCGCTATATATCGGGTGAGTACGTGTGCGATCGGAGTGCACAAACAATTTCACTGGTAGGGCGGGTGCCCAGTCGCTGTCGTGAGAAGTTTTGTTGACAATGGAAATCGGGATGTAAAGTTATATAAAAAGCAAACAAACATCAATATCATATACCAGAGATCGAGTTGCCTTTATAACAAAAAATAGCAAGCGAAAATTCAGTAAGATCAGTCGTCTGCTGGTGGTAGGCAATATATAAATAGGAAACCACGTTATCACAACACTCCCTCGCAGTGCGGAGCAAAATGTATGGCTCATCATCGAAAACCATACAAAATACCTGGATGTGACGAGCGGCAACAGTTTCGCCGATACGATATATCATCAACGCTAGTAGGAAACACTTGATATTTTTGTGTGAAATAGATGAACATATCCTTTATCACTCAAGCTTAGTAAAATAAAAACTTTAAATGATATTACAGATAAAAAATTACGTTTTTGTCTTACATCGTCGAAAATCCCTGACACCAAGATATCAGTTTTAGGTGATTTTGTTAATCCTGAAAGAAGGAGCATAAAATGTCCATTGCTATTTTTAGATGTCATTTGAAATAAACCGTGATTGAAAACAGACGTGATTTAAACGTTTGTTAGGTTATTTTGCCTTAACATAGTGTTTATAACTTGATTTATGAGAGGAAGTCGCCAGAGTAGGTCTAACACTAAGGATCATGAATGACAGATCTGTAAGAAGCAAGTTCTTTTTTCTAGAGGTCTGCACATTAATGCACATGTTGAGAGTTACGTACCTTTGAACACTGACGTCACGTAATGGAGGCAAGTGGGAAGTAGGTGGGTTTGGTCGCAAAATGTGTTCATGTTGTGGTATGAGACGGGTTATGTTCCTGGATAATTATGGAATAGGCATTTGAGAAATATTATATGTTGGTGACAAAAGCAGAAACATGCCGTCTACTTCATAGCTGAAAATAAGGAAATTCAGAGATTGACAGATGATAATTTGCAAAATATCTTGCCTTATCACAACTGTTCAAGAAAGGTGTGAGTTGGGATTTTAAATTTAGTTTCTTACTCATCGTCACAGGTTATTTCGTATGTATGTAACCAAAATTAGATTTCACCTGCAGATTTAAAAAGTTATTGCATTTCATGGACAGTACGCTGTATGTATCTTTAACATGATGTAGATCAGATCCGCTTGATCTGTTCCTCATTTCAATGTCCGGTCCAGTAGTGATTGACTGTTTACCCTGAACAAAGTGAGCAAGTATACCAACTCAACGGTCTGTCGTTGCACTTGTATATCAAAATTTGACGTAATTTCTTATGTATGGAAGGGGCATCATATTTCATAAACGAAATAGTATCATGAAGAAGCTCCACCATTTGTAATAACTATTTAGGAGTAGGACACAATGTCATCATGAACATGATCAAAAGCCAATTTATGTGCTGTACATGTATGTATACATTTTTATCTAATTGTCTGATATTGTTTTATATAAAAGTGTATGATGTTTACAGTTGTTTTAATGTACATGTATATTGTTGTGATTCTGTCAGAATGTCATTCAAAACAAACAACTGATATATCAGTTTACAAATTATGCAATTTATCTTTAGTTTTGAGTGATATATTTCATGAGCATTTACAAATTTAAGGGTTTCTTTGTGTGGAAAGTTTGATTTGAAAATATTGACTCAAAACTATCACAATAAATTAATACATCTGTGTGTATTAAAATTAGTTTCTTCTTTAGGTTTATCAAAAATAGTTTCTATCGTGACCTGCGATTAATCATCCTAATGTTAAATATAACCTAAGCTGTTCCATCAAATATTAAAATTTTAATTCATGGGCTCTTGTTTACCACCTTAACCATAGTAGTGTTATGGAATGTAAACATGGTAGATGAGTCAGTAGCAGTTCATTACCAACTCAATGTATTGATTTGTATCGTGACAGTATCCATGTTACAAAATTTACAATAAGTTGAGATCATGATATATGCTGACATCTGAAACAAAATGTTTTTGTATGTATTTTAATATATATTTCTGTGGGTTGTTATCAGGCATATGCGTCTTTTGACCAAATCTGATGATATATTTTGGCTGTTATGTATTGCCATTATATACAGTGGTTGTAACTTGAGTAACAGTAGGAATTAAGACATGTTGTTTGTTGAACAAGTTAATTATTAATCAGTCTTTTCCATGACCACGATGACATGTCATTGTCAAGTATTTGTTGTCATAAATGAAGGAAAGGCAACAGTCTTTACTAGTGATATCATGCACCTACCACAATAATCATGTCGATGTTAAAATCTTTGAACATTGTCTACACTTTAATACATTAAAAATGGACAATAAGTTTGAATGTGTTTAAAATGCAACAAATTTATATTTTCTTGTATTCATGTTAACATAGTTATAAGCATTGTAAGCTGTTTGTGAATATCATTTAAAATTCATCAGCATGTTTCCTGAAATCAATCCCATATGTATGGTTTATAATAGGTATCTGTAATAGTGGTGTGACGATGCATCGATCCATGGGCCGCCAATACAGTGAATCGATAAAATGTTTTACATTGTCGTATATCCTGATACGATATTTCAATTTGGCCTCGATACATCGATGTTTTACTTTGAATATTGCCGATATCTTGTCAAGAAATACTTACTTTTGTTTAATGATTAAAATATATGCATACTTATTTTCCCTTCATAGGTTTCTCGGATTTTCTTCCTTCAGGAACTGTGTCAAACATAGCGCTCGCATTTTATCAACATTCACAAAGTCTGTGTATAAACGTAATTATCTCATTTCCGAATGAACATTGAAAAATGCTGGTGGAATTTGACGAAATACTTTCAAGTGGTTTTGTTTTGATCTTAAGGTGTTTTATAGTTGGTGTTAGAATTAAAGGTTTTAGTATCGTGATACGTATCGTATCGCCACCCTTGTATCGGGATTCGCATCGTATCGCAGCTTCAGTGCACAATACTTTGGCAATATATCGTCGTGACTAAAATTTTAGTATTTTGATGCCTGTTGTATGCCAATACCAGCACTAATCTTTAAGAATAGTCAACATCAAACAGCAACCCATCAAACTTCACACACACAACATTTGTTTATGGTGGTCAGCAACAGAAACTACCCTTTTCAGTTCTCATGATACCTTAAATATCAAGCAGTTGACTGTAGGACTTGTACCAACTTCTAGTGTGCATACCCTAAATATGACAAACATTCTGTTGGAATCGGTCTTCGTTGTACTGCTTTACTGAGCATTGTTCGCTTCGTTTGCAAGTTTTGCTAGAATTTAGTAGAAACCCAGAGGCAGGGATTGGGATAGGGAACTTTGACAATGGGCCATTTTCAGAATTATTTGCCATTTGCTGAACTTAGAATGGGCCACTGCCCTTGTATCAATAGTAAACTTCAAAATTTTAATGGGCCATTTTTTATTCTAATGTGCAAAATGGGCTGTGGCCCCTGCCTTTCCCAATCCCTGCAGAGGTAACAAAATATTGATTAATAGTGGCCCAGGACTTTTGGGTTATGTCTTAGACTGCTCGTTCAGGTATAGTTTCATATATATATATTGGCAACATGGATTCGTTGAGTGAAGAAGAAATGCTAGCATTAATGCCAGTCTACATATCGCAGTGACCCACTAGTCTGTTGTCTCATTTGGAATAGGTGGCATGTTGTATGTTCCTGTGGCAAATAAAAACCTGTAAACCACTTGGTTTCTTGTCCGTAACACCAATTTTGTTCAGTCTTGTCTCCATCATGATGTCAACATAAACAAAACAGACTTCACTCTGAGGTTGACACAGATCTAAGCAATTTCATTGGTAGAGAGTTTGCGACTTATAGTAGGAATTAGGACAAGTCCTCTGTCTTTCAACTCAGCTGCAACTACTCTTAGTTGTATGTGATTTCAGATTGTTACAGTTTGGGTGTTCTCGCGTTGCAGCTGCGTTGCATGCTATAAGTTCTTACTGCAAGTCACACTATGGGAACGCACCTTAAGGTTTCAAGCTCTGTTTGATTATTATTTTACCTTCTGTAACCACGGTAACAACTCATTCTTGCCAATACAGCTGGCCACCTCAGCCATCGGACAAATGACCAGTTGGTGTAAATCAAGTGGACAGCAACAAGCCTATACCACAATGACTTCCTTCTTTTAACCTATTTTTCAAGATCAGACAATATCACCTACAGGGTTGACCGTGTTGGTTGTGACCATGGTGATAAATACAGAATTTCCTGAAAAATGATTTTATGAGATGTATTCTGTCTTTAGCATTGTGTTATTCAGCAATAGATTCTATGGCACTGACCTGCAAGTACCAGAGAGTATAGATTCATATTCATATTATGTTGATTCTATTTATATTTTTTTCTTTTCAGACTGAATACTATCCAGTAAGAATTACATTTGTGACTGTCTAGAAACAAATTAGCAGCTGCAATCATGGCATCATATGGTAGAGGATCGTTTGATGGGTTCTCTGGCTACCAAGGTGGAAGCTCGGGAGGCTACCAGGGAAGGGGAGGTAATTATGAAAGCATTGTACTATTGTTGCTTATGCTAAAATTGCAAATTGTTATCAATAATCACGGAGGATGTTTACAAATTTGGTAATGATATGAAAGAATGTCCTGTCAAAGATTCTTTAAATCATTGAGTTGCTTTGTTTAAATCTGTGTCCATCAAAATATTAAAGGTCACATGCAACCAAAAAATCAAACATAATTAAAACACAATTATCAAAAATTATGAAAAAACGTATAAACAAAATTATAAGCGTACAATCGCAAATCAAAAGTGCAATATTGTGTACTTGGGTTTACTTCCCAAGAAACGAAGCAGCCAGGATACCGAACCCAGTCAGAGCGGGTGGGTGTGCACTCAAGTGTAACGGCTGGTTCATTTGCAGATGCCTTCACGGCTCATTGTGTGTGTATATATAGAGATGTTGGGTTTTGTAAATACATGCTCATTTTTGTGTGTATAACATTTTGCAATCAACAGACATCATAACATGTCATGTGTTCAAGTATCACACCTGCCTGTCTGTGTAATTACATAATGTGACAGAGACCGAACTCGGGCCATAAATCAATGGATTTTGTTTATGGTGTACAGCCTGATTGGTGTTAAGTTCAAATTGCATGTGGTCAGTGATAGCAGCTGTGTATTGAATATTGTCATTAGCAGACAGGCAGGCAGACACACAGGTGTCAATAAAACAAGACATTGAGTTTTGTCTGTGACAACGACATATCTATATCACAGTTAGAAATTCTGTCAACGCTAAATAATGACATTGCTTTTAAGTATCGAACTGAGAAAGTGACTCGGTAAGAAGAACGTGTGGTGAAATTATATAAACAGTTAACTCACTGTCATAACATATAAAAAGTTACGCCTGTGAGATATCAACAAAACATTAGAAAAATAGCTCACACCAAAGCCTTCACCGAGTATTCACCGGACAACCCGGCTTCAAGCTGCCTCTTTCACTGCGCACGTGCTATGAGCGCAGCCCAGCTGTTGAAACCCGTTTTCCCCAGAAAAGTCGGGGGGAAATTAGTGAAACGTTTGAACTCTAATTTCGCGCATTTTTTTTCATCGCGTAATTTTTCAACTTTATTAGTTGAATTTGCATTTTTGACGATTTGTTTCGGTAAGTCCATACCGAAAGGTATCAGAATCTGGAAAGTTGTGTTTTACGTTGCATGTGACCTTTAAAGAGCTCAAAGTCAAACAGTTTTATCTAGACCTGTTGAGAGCCAAATTAGCCTTAAGTATGGAACAAATTTCTACATTGAAGTTACAAATATGCCAATTCCCGTAAATTAAGTTGTAAGTAATTTTATACCTTTGTGGAGGTAAATGTGTATCACTGATGACAGACCCATAAACTGTTAGTGTTACAGAGGAAAAGGCTATATGGTTCTTGTTTTATTCATGTCATTGTATCCCCATTGGGTAAATCTATGTTCATGCTGTTGATCACTGGATTGCCTGTTCTACAATTATTTATGGACCATATATAGCTGGAATATTGCTTAGTGTGGCATTTAACAGCAAACAAACAATATATTTTCATTATGCAGTGTTAAAATATATTCTCCAGTAGCTGGAATATTGCTGACAAGAACATAAACAACATTCAGTTACTCATTCAGATGGGGAATTATCAGAAAACCCATTATATCTAGTAAATTGCCTGACTTCATAGAACACAAAGATCCAGGTTAGAGCAGCGACCCATGCTTGTTGTAAGAGGCAACTAACAGGATCAGGTGGTCCCTCTCACTGACATGGTTGACACATGTCATTGTAACCCATTTGTGTAGATGCTCATGTTGTTGATCACTCAATTTTCTGGTCCAGACTCGATTATTTACAGACTGAAGTCATATAGCTGGAATATTACTGAGTGCAACATAACACAACTCACTCACACACTCATAGAACACAAGATATCAGATGATATTTGCAATTCTTAGATCAGTTTATCGTGGACTTATGTACCTACTCACTGTCATATTCTTCTGCTGCAGCTGATGGGGCCAGTGATCACACCAGACTTGCACAGAGTGTTGGAAATAATATTCAGAAAATTACACAAAATGGTGAGTAAACTGTTGAAATGGAGTAATCCATATGAACACAAAGCCCAACAAGTCGTAAGTTTTGGTCACTCATGTATTACCTGAAACACTTCATAAACATACTCAGATTTGAGTAATATTTCTTAAAATGGCCTAAAATCAAGTTGTCCTGTGTGTTAGCCATGTGGTGATCAAGCACAGTGTCATTTTGTCAGAGTCGTCATTCTTTGTCATACAGGTAAATATTTACTGTTAAACTTGTTTTCTTGTGTGCCAGATGATGAGTCTGTAGACTGGTAATGCCACATTAACTTGTTGATCATTATTTATGGATAAAGTTATCACCTTTTCTTGTTAAAATCCAGTTGCACAGATTCAGAGATTTGTTGCCCAGATCGGAACAAGAGAAGACTCTGATGATATCAGGAACAGAGTGTGAGTGTCACCAAACAGTAGGGTTCTGAAAAAGTATCATGTTTCTGGTCATTTTGCTTGGGCTTTAAATGATACAGTGACATGGCATTTTTCTCCTATTCTTAAACTCATTTGCCTGATATACTGCTAAGAATAGTACATTGTTTGAATTCTGGAGGAGGGAAGACTCTTGTATTAGACCCTTTTTAGAGTATCCTCTGCACTGTGATTCACTCAAGTTCAGCGCAGTGATGTCTAACTCCACCCGGAAAACTGAAAAGGTCCTATATAATAATAGCTCCTCAACAAAGTGTGTACTTTCTGATAGGGAGAAAGCAGGTTAGAGTTACCTGCCTTTAATTAAAAACGAAAACTTCCAACACCAGTGGGGGACATAAAACAAACTACTTCTTTTGGGACTGGGAGCGTAACACTCAGTTATCTTGATTTTAGCCTTAATTGAGTTCACAACCCTATTATGTCTGGCTGGGTTTTTTGGCTTATTTCATACACTGATTTAAAGACAAGGTAAGTTTTCCTACATAGCAGGTTAAATGTTTCAATGAATTGGTTAGTGATTTTCAGGTTTGATGACTAAGGGTGAATAACTCAAAGTGAATCATTCTTTCTCTTGCTCCTTATGAGCCTATATATACAACCAATCAAAATGCTTCTTCTGAATGCGGGGCGTTGGGGTAGCCTTGTGGTTAAAGCGTTGGCTCGTCACGCCAATGACCTGTTTGATTCCCCACTGTGTGAAGCTCATTTCTGGTATCCCCCGCCGTGATGTTGCTGGAATATTGCTAAAAGCGGCATAAAACTAAACTCAGTCAGTCAGTCTTCTGAATGCGAGATCAGAATGAATCTGTTTGCAACATCTTATAAGCTCTTGATACCTTTAATAAAGTCAGGGTGCAGTGGGGTAGCCTAGTGGTTACAGCATTTGCTCGTCACACCGAAGACCCGCGTTCGGTTCCCCACATGGGTCCAATGTGTGAAGCCCATTTGTGGTGTCCCCTGCCGTGATATTGCTGGAAAATTGCTAAAAGCGTCGTACAATTAAACTCACTCACTAATAAAGTCAGGAGATGTCAGAAATTGTATTCATGCATCTTAATATGGGAACATGGCCCCTTGCTTCAAGTCATTCCTAGCCGTGTAAAAGATGGTACACAATAGACACAAATAACAGCAATTGAGGATAACAAACTGCTTCACTGGCATTGCTCTTGACGTACACACCCATCAACTTAAACACATCACCTAAGTATTTGCCCATATATTATACTTGTGATTGTGACTGAAGCAGTTCTACCAGAGCCATGAGTGAGCTTTGTTACCATTTGCAGGCATCAGACAACCCATTACACGAACCAGCTGGCCAAAGAGACCAACACTCATCTGCAGGAACTGGCACATCTACCTGCTCCGAGCAACCCATCAGAACAGGTCAGCTCTTAGTAGACCCTCATTATCACTGGATTCCCTGGTCCAGACTTGATTATTTACAGACCGCTGCCATATAGCTGGAATATTGCTGAGTGCAGTGTTAAACATCAAACCATCCAACCAAATCCAGGTAGACCACTAAATGCTTTTGTAATCTGAATGCATCCATCATTCTGTTGTCCCAATCTGTAAGCAGTAAATTTTTAGAATTATGCTATCTCACACTACATCTCTCCCATCTCTTTTGATCCTGAGTGGATAGGTGCTTAGAACCCTTAGAATGTTTCCTGTTTCATAACACTTGACCGTAACGCAGCCAGCAGCTACCATCACCTTCCTTTTTCAGGGTCACAAGCCATTATTTATACACAATTTAGGATTGACTGTGAATTTTTTTCTGTTCATTGACATATCAATGGAAAAAAACTATGTGCAAACTGTGTGCTTCCGTGTAGCAGATTCTCACAAAACTTTATCAGTAATATTGCTATGTGTTGGCTTTTAAACTGAGGCTTTGAATCAGTTTTATGTTGGTGTTTAGTAATTTGTTTGTCCTAAAGTTTGTTTATTTCTGAATGTGGAATTAAACAACAAACAAACAAATTTCAGAGACAGTTTAAGATGCAGAAGGAGCGTCTGACGGAAGAGTTCAGCAATGCCCTGAAGAACTTCCAGACAGCCCAACGCACGGCGGCCGAGAAGGAGAAAGCCAGCATGGCACGGGCACGAGCACATTCCGGGACAGCGGCCATGAAGGTGGGTGCATCTGTGGGGCCTGGGATTCTTAGGATATATTACTCTGTAGGGGTGTCACAATGGGATTCTTGGGATTTATTACCCTGTAGGGGTGTCACAATGGGATTCTTGGGATTTATTACCCTGTATGGGTGTCTCAATGGGATTCTTGGGATTTAGGATTTATTACCCTGTATGGGGTCTCTCAATGGGATTCTTGGGATTTATTACCCTGTAGGGGTGTCACAATGGGATTCTTGGGATTTAGGATTTATTACCCTGTATGGGGTGTCTCAATGGGATTCTTGGGATTTATTGCCCTGTAGGGTTGTCACAATGGGATTCTTGGGATTTATTACCATGTAGGGGTGTCACAATGGGATTCTTGGGATTTATTACCCTGTAGGGTTGTCTCAATGGGATTCTTGGGATTTATTACCCTGTAGAGGTGTCTCAATGGGATTCTTGGGATTTATTACCCTGTAGGGATGTCACAATGGGATTCAATGGATTTTCCCTGTGGGGTTCTATTGGGATTCTAGGGATTATTGCCTGCAGGGAGTGTCTCAATGGGATTCTTGGGATTTATTACCCTGTAGGGGTTGTCACAATGGGATTCTTGGGATTTATTACCCTGTAGGGGTGTCTCAATGGGATTCTTGGGATTTATTACCCTGTAGGGGTGTCTCAATGGGATTCTTGGGATTTATTACCCTGTAGGGGTGTCTCAATGGGATTCTTGGGATTTATTACCCTGTAGGGGTGTCTCAATGGGATTCTTGGGATTTATTACCCTGTAGGGTTGTCTCAATGGGATTCTTGGGATTTATTACCCTGTAGGGGTGTCTCAATGGGATTCTTGGGATTTATTGCCCTGCAGGGGTGTCTCAATGGGATTCTTGGGATTTATTACCCTGTAGGGGTGTCACAATGGGATTTATTGCCCTGTAGGGTTGTCTCAATGGATTCATGGGATTTATTACCCTGTAGGGTTGTCTCAATTGGATTCTTGAGATTTATTGCCCTGTAGGGTTGTCTCAATGGGATTCTTGGGATTTATTACCCTGTAGGGGTGTCTCAATGGGATTCTTGGGATTTATTACCCTGTAGGGTTGTCTCAATGGGATTCTTGGGATTTATTGCCCTGCAGGGGTGTCTCAATGGGATTCTTGGGATTTATTACCCTGTAGGGGTGTCACAATGGGATTTATTGCCCTGTAGGGTTGTCTCAATGGATTCATGGGATTTATTTCCCTGTAGGGGTGTCACAATGGGATGATTGGGATTTATTACCCTGTAGGGGTGTCACAATGGGATTCTTGGGATTTATTACCCTGTAGGGTTGTCTCAATGGGATTCTTGGGACTCTTTACCCTGTAGGGTGTGTCACAATGGAATTCTTAGTATTTCTTACCATAGAATAGTATCCCTTTCCTCCAGAAAGGTAAGCTTGATAGATGTGTCAAGAGTGAAATCTATTGACACAGGATGCCAAGGTCATGTTTACGCCAGTCTGTATAAAATATTTTGTACAGCTCTGTCTGTACATCTGATTGACAATTGATGTAACTTACAATATCTTCATACTTACTAGTGGGTACAATGTGTGGAGCCCATTTCAGGTGTCCCCTGCCGTGATATTGCTGGAATATTGCTAAAAGCGGCACAAAACTAAACTCACTCACTCATTCATACTTAATGGCGCTTGTTATCTGTTAGGGGGCAGTGAGGTAGCCAGGTGGTTAAAGTGTTCGCTCGTCACACCGCTGACCCGGGTTTGATTCCCCACATGGGTACAATGTGTGGAGCTTATTTCTGGTGTCCCCAACTGTGATTTTTCTGCAATATTGCTAAAAAAAACGGCGTAAAACTAAACTGACTCGCTTATTATCTGTGACAGCTACATATATGTTCACACTCATGACTGTCTACACGCCATGTCTCCACATGAACTAACAAGTATGAATGATATTTTATCTTTCCAAACTTTCAGTCTCCGTTTGATGACTTCCCGTCGCCAACAGAGGATCAGAGTATGGCTCCTGGGTAGGTGATGCTCTGTGAGCAAATACACATGAAAGCTATAATGACAATGATATGCAAAATTGTGGATCCAGTATTGAGTAATTTCACTCACTCACTGTTTCTCATGGTGTATAACCCTGGTATCATTATTCCCGGGTCAAACAATGGTATCATTGGTAAAAAATCAAAAACTGGTATCTTTGGTCCCGGGTCGAAAATGGTATCATTGGCCCAAGATCAAATATTAATATCATTGTACCTTGTTCAAAAAGTGGAATCTTTGGGCTCAGATATAAATATGGGGTATGACTGGTTCCTTTGTCAAAAATTGGTACTATTGGTTTCGGATGAAAAACTGGTATCTTTGGTCCAGATCAAATATTGCTGTCATTGTTACTGGATCAAACACTGGTATTTTTGGTCTTGGTCAAATGTTGGTATTTCTGGTCCAGGTTGACATTATGTTTTGACGGACATGATCAAATGTACTAACTGAACTGGCTGTTCAGGAGAAATTTAGTCAAGGGGCAATTAATCCTAAACATTTAAGCCCCTGTGGTGATTCAAGTTTAGGATTGGTCCCCAACAACTTATGAGAGGTGACCAAACAGATAGTGAAGTAGGTCTAAGTACATCCGTGTACTGTTACTAGCATGCCTCTACGTCGTGGATCATTACTGATGGAGGTGTATGACATCGCTTCTGCAAAACAATGCTGGGGTGGATAGCATGTCTGGAGTATTGCTCATTATTGAATAAAGATCTTATGCACTGAAGAAAGGTTGTTGATTGGAAGCACCTTGAGGCCTGGATTGGATCATACATCTTCAAAAATTACCCCGCCAGGTAGATAATGTTGTTATTGATTCAACGACCGTGGCATTGTTAATTTTCAGCATGACCCGTGAAGGTCCGGGTTAGAATTGGTCTTCAGTAACCCGTGCTTGTCGTAATAGGCGACTGACGGGATCGGGTGGTCAGACTCGCTGACTTGGTTGACTCATGTCATCATATTCTAATTACGTAGATCAATGCTCATGATGATCACTGGATTGTCTGATCCAGACTCAGTTATTGTTCCTGTCCTGACTAAAGGTATGAATGTGTTGAATTCCAGCTTCTCCCAAACCAAAGCTGTTCTGCAGATGGAACAGGATGTGGATCTGGATCTCCTGAGAGAGAGGGAGGATGCCATCAAGAAACTCGAGGTCAGCATCAATATTCCATGCTTCATGTATAACAGTTGCATGTAGGTGCCCCAAACATCTGAGGTGCCACATTCCTCTGTGCAGAGTTGTGTCCCCTAGGCTTACCAGTGATCCTGGGTATAATCCAAGATTGTTAGTTCCTGTTTCTAGGTTGTCAGTAATACATATTTACAGATGAGTTTCACTAAAGTTGTAATTCTCTCAAACCTGTATCATTTGGGTCTTTCCTCCTCATTGAGCTTCGATAGATATGAAATATTGTCCAAAGAGGCATTAAGTCAAACTCCCTCATGGATTCAGGAATAAATGGTCTCAGATTATTTTATGGGTCACTTTGGGCCCTCCTCCATGTTGCAGGAGGCATCAGCCTCTTTATGTCATGTTCTAGGAGGCATCAATTAACTCATCAAGGACTTAGAATGACAAGAATATTACCGCATCAACCAATTACTACTGAAATGGAATTGCTGCTAAAGTCTTTGTGACATTATTTTCTCACTCTGACAACATTTGTACTTTACAGCATGACATCATGGATGTTAATCAGATCTTCAAAGACCTGGGCATGTTGGTTCATGAACAAGGAGAGGTTCTAGGTAGGTACCTTGGCATGTTGGGTCATGAACATGGAGAGGTTCTAGGTAGGTACCTTGGCATGTTGGGTCATGAACATGGAGAGGTTCTAGGTAGGTACCCTGGCATGTTGGTTCATGAACAAGGAGAGGTTCTAGGTAGGTACCCTGGCATGTTGGTTCATGAACAAGGAGAGGTTCTAGGTAGGTACCTTGGCATTTTGGTTCAAAAACAAGGAGAGGTTCTAGGTAGGTACCTGGGCATGTTGGTTCATAAACAAGGAGAGGTTTTAGGTCGGTACCTGGGCATTTTGGTTCATGAACAAGGAGAGGTTTTAGGTAGGTACCCTGGCATGTTGGTTCATGAACAAGGAGAGGTTCTAGATGGGTACCTGGGCATGTTGGTTCATGAACAAGGAGAGGTTCTAGGTAGGTACCTGGGCATGTTAGTTCATGAACAAGGAGAGGTTCTAGGTAGGTACCTGGGCATGTTAGTTCATGAACAAGGAGAGGTTCTAGGTAGGTACATGTCATGTTGGTTCATGACACTGAATTGATGAATTCTAAATGGGTTCATGAGCCGATAAGATGTATGAAATGTTTCAGCTGTATTTATTCTTCATAATCTGGAGTCAGGAATTTGAGTTTGGCAAACCTGCACAAAACACAAAAGTTCTTGAAAGATACTCTCTTTGCTCAGAAACAACAATGCATTCAAAATATCCAGCAAAATTCAACATGATATTAAGATGCAACCTAAAGTATTTACATTTGAAAGTGGTCATTTAACTTATTATTCAAGATATTGTTCAAAATTATTTTATATCATACCATGGATTTGGGAGCCTTGACCTTGTTGATTCTGATTAGGAAAGTTACCTGATGTTGAGCACCTAATGAGACTGAAACTTTTGCAAGCTGCTTCTGATTTAGAGGGGCGGTAGGGTAGCCTAGTGGTTAAAGCGTAGGCTCGTCACCTTCGATTCCCCACATGGGCACAATGTGTTAAGCCCATTTCTGGTGTCCCCCGCCGTGATATTGCTGGAATATTGCTAAAAGCGGCGTAAAACTAAACTCAGTCAGTCAGTCAGTCTGATTTAGAGCACCTGTGAATAGCCTTACTGATATTTGATGCTAAAGAAGATCTTATTTCTGTGCAATTTCTTTCTCCTTGCAGACAGCATAGAAGCTAACATAGAACAGACCCAGATCCATGTTGAGGAAGGGACACAACAGCTGGCTAAAGCTTCCACATACCAGGTGAGTCTCGAGCTTCGCCACAACCATTTCATGGGCACCCTTTGTAGTATAGTGAGTAGGGATGTCACGATACATAAGTTTCATGAATCGATATGCATCATGATACCCATGTCACGATTCAATACATATTACTATACCTGTTTTCGTGGCTTTATTACGTAAATTTTGTTACATTTTGAACATTAATATTTCATATTTTATAATTGTCCATAAGATCAACATTTTTTATTCTCAGAGTTTAAAAAGTTCTAATTTCCCATCTTTGTGCATGAAAAATAATCAGTATAACTCTCATGACATCAAAAAACATGATACAATTGCAAAATGTAAACAATACATAAACATATTTAAACCGATACTTTCAAAACTAAATATCGATACAGTTTTGAATGTATCGATAATTGTATCGTCTTAGAAAAAGTATTGATGTATCAATGTATCGTGGCATCCCTGATAGTGAGGTAGTCTGATCTGGTGTGACATGTCTGATTATGTGTTGTCCTACTCAAATGGTGACAGCGCCTTGTGCCACAATGATGTCATCTTACTTGTGCCTGTTAGCATCACCTTGGATGATGGTTTACATCCTCTCCCGGATGACACCTGTAACATTTTTCTGTATCATGTTACAGGTATCTGATCACAACAAAGAGTGTCACTAAAGCACTATTTGTGAAAGATCCAATCTATTGTCAGTGTGCACTTTGAGATTAGACTACCCTCTCTCTATGTATAGTTATGTGATTGCATGTATTAAAATATGGAAAAGCTATGTTAGTATGGTACTTGTTGTCAGTATGGTACTTGTTGTCAGCACCTTGTGGTACAGTGAAGATATGATGGTCTGGCTTCGTTAGTTGAGTAGACATGCTTGCAACCACAATTGTTTTCAAGCCAACTGTGATTCATAGCAAGGCTCTGCCAATCTTTTTGTTGCCATGTATTCACTCGTTCCTTCACCTGCACATATGATCAGGCCATCATTGAGTTATGCACAATAATTTAAGACGACCAGTCCATTGCTGTTGGTACACTGTAGAACCACCAGTCCATTGTTATTGGTACATTGTAGAACCACTAGTCCATTGTTGTTGGTATGCTGTAGAACCACCAGTCCATTGTTGTTGGTACGCTGTAGAACCACCAGTCCATTGTTGTTGGTACACTGTAGAACCACCAGTCTATTGTTGTTGGTACATTGTAGAACCACCAGTCTATTGTTGTTGGTACATTGTAGAACCACCAGTCCATTGTTGTTGGTACACTGTAGAACCACCAGTCCATTGTTGTTGGTACACTGTAGAACCACCAGTCCATTGTTGTTGGTACACTGTAGAACCACCAGTCCATTGTTGTTGGTACACTGTAGAACCACCAGTCCATTGTTGTTGGTACACTGTAGAACCACCAGTCCATTGTTGTTGGTACACTGTAGAACCACCAGTCCATTGTTGTTGGTACACTGTAGAACCACCAGTGTTGTTGTTGGTACACTGTAGAACCACCAGTCCATTGTTGTTGGTACACTGTAGAACCACCAGTCCATTGTTGTTGGTACACTGTAGAACCACCAGTCCATTGTCTGTAGAACCACCAGTCTGTTGTTGGTACACTGTAGAACCACCAGTCCATTGTTGTTGGTACACTGTAGAACCACTAGGTAGTCCATTGTTGTTGGTACACTGTAGAACCACCACAGAACCACCAGTCTATTGTTGTTGGTACACTGTAGAACCACCAGTCTATTGTTGTTGGTACATTGTCCATTGTTGTTGGTACATTGTAGAACCACCAGTCCATTGTTGTTGGTACATTGTAGAACCACCAGTCCATTGTTGTTGGTACATTGTAGAACCACCAGTCTATTGTTGTTGGTACACTGTCTAGTTGTTGGTACACCACCAGTCCATTGTTGTTGGTACATTGTAGAACCACCAGTCTATTGTTGTTGGTACACTGTAGAACCACCAGTCCATTGTTGTTGTTGTTGGTACACTGTAGAACCACCATTGTTGTTGGTACATCACCAGTCTATTGTACATTGTAGAACCACCAGTCCATTGTTGTTGGTACATTGTAGAACCACCAGTCTATTGTTGTTGGTACACTGTAGAACCACCAGTCCATTGTTGTTGGTACATTGTAGAACCACCAGTCCATTGTTGTTGGTACATTGTAGAACCACCAATCTATTGTTGTTGGTACACTGTAGAACCACCAGTCCATTGTTGTTGGTACATTGTAGAACCACCAGTCTATTGTTGTTGGTACATTGTAGAACCACCAATCTATTGTTGTTGGTACACTGTAGAACCACCAGTCTATTGTTGTTGGTACATTGTAGAACCACCAGTCCATTGTTGTTGGTACACTGTAGAACCACCAATCTATTGTTGTTGGTACACTGTAGAACCACCAGTCTATTGTTGTTGGTACACTGCAGAACCACATTGTCTTCACTGCCTTGGATGTTTGATGTTTAGTTTCACAATCACATTTCTGTTTGTTTCAGTCCAAAGCCCGAAGAAAAAAGTGCTGTATTGCTGTTATTGTTGTTGTGGTTTTAGTTGTCATTGCTATTATCATCGCCGTTGCTGTCCCCAAAAACTAACTGTTTTTTAAATATGTGAATGTAAGTATGTAAGCATATTAGCACTACAGTTTAACAAAAAAAAGTGATCATCTACGTAGAAAATATACACATCTCCAACAGGGGCGGTGGGGTAGCCTAAGGGTTACAGCGTTCGCTCGTCGCACCAAAGAGCCGGGTTTGAATCCCCACATGGGTACAATGTGTGAAGCCCATTTCTGGTGTCCCCCGCCGTGATGTTGCTGGAATATTGCTAAAAGCAGCGTAAATCCAAACTCAGTCAGTCAGTCAGACACATCTCCAACAAGATACTTTCCTGTACATCTTTAAAGATGATACTTATCACTCTAATGGGGCGGTGGGGGTCACCTAGTCGTTAAAGCATTTGCTTGTCACACCGAAGACCTGGGTTCGATTCCCCACATGGGGACAATGTGTGAAGCCCATTTCTGGTGTCCCCCGCCGTGATATTGCTGGAACATTTCTAAAAGGGGCATAAAACCGCATTCTTCACTCACTTGTCTCTCTATATGTGATACAGTTTGTATCATTACTGAGACAGTTGATATTGTCTTGTGAAGTCATAACCTTTGTTGGATAGAGTATACAAATGTATATACACTGTATATATGATTTGTTTAAAAGTTTAGTAGCATGTTGGTCATGTATTTACATTTCGGCTTTTCTGTGAAGTGAGCAGTGGTCAGTACTGCTTGATTAGTGAAACATATATATATTCTTGCAAAATGTTTCACACTTGTTTCTGTCTATGTACTGAGTTATTAAATGTTATTTTACAGAGAAAATCTAGACGGAAAACCTGTATAATTGTTATCATCATCGCCATAGTGATAACAATCCTGGCCCTCATCATCTGGGGTGCCAACAATAACTGACGACATCTATCGGTCAGGCTGTCAACCACCAAAAAATAGCCCCACCCACCTGAGGTGTTGTTTAAGCAGTTGCCATGGTAACCTGTGGACATGCAGTTACTCTACTGAGCACAGATGACCTAGCTACCCACATCTACCACAGCACCATGTAGGCTTTGTGACCTTGGTGACCTCTCCTTGTGACCTTGGTGATGTTCGCCTTGTTAAAGGACGAGACATGCTGAAGTGACCTGAGATCTGATCTGGAGGTCATCTGACAATTAACTTTTTTTTGTTTCTACAAATGGCAGTCGCTTTTGGTGTATCTTCTGAAGCCATTCCAAGACTCTTCAATTTCAACAAAGGGTGCTGTTACCTTTCATATCATAGAGGCTCAGTAATTGTAAATAGGTTTCAAATTAACCACCTAAAAATGTTCCTATACAATTTTGAAGATTCATTTTCGATAAAAATTAAGGACTGCTCTAGAATGTGTGGAATAATGAATTTATACAAATACTGTTTAGCATCTTGAGAGGTTCTGCTTTTCAACACAATGTCATTACTAAGAGATTTTTACAGTTGTCAAATCGATCTGGGAATGTTTATTGATAATTGTCATCTGACCACTAAATCATCAGTATTTCAGGGCAGGTCCTTCTTCCAGAAAGTAAATCAGTACACAAACATGTTAGATCTTTCCAGAACAGAATCAATGTAAATATAGAGTATTATTGGAAAGAGTCTTGTCCCTCCATCTCTGACATTGCTGAAAATGGTTACCCAGATGTCCTCTCTTCTGCCCAGTAAGTACTGCTTGTCACCATTGTATGAAAAGTGCCCTGATTACCAGTTAGAACTGGTCCCTGGCACCCTATACTGGTCTTAGAGGTGACCATATGGATGAACTGGTCAGATTCTGTGATAATAGGGCTGTGGGGTAGCCTAGTGGTAAAGTGTTTGCTCGTCATGCTGAAGGCCTGGGTTCAATTTCCCACATGGGTACAATGTGTGAAGCCCATTTCTGGTGTTCCCCGCCTTGATATTGCTGGAAAATTGCTAAAAGCGGCTTAAAAACCAACTCACTCACTCACTGTGATAATATTGATAGTGTATTATCGTGACCCATTGGCATGGATGCTTGTTCACAGTACTAATCACTGGTCCAGATTCCATCATCTACAGGCTGACATAGTGTGGCAAGTATATTGCTGAGTGCTGTATTAAAGAACAAATGCTCTGGATGGTGACAAAATTGTTGGATGGTCTGGCTCGGTGAGTTCAATTCACCATGATCACAGCATGGGGCAATGCTTTAATAACAATCGTTTATCTGTCCTAGACATTAGTTGCAGTTTCTGTGCTTCCCTGACTGCAGCTTTAAACAACAAACATGTTATGACAGTAATTTGCTTTCTGGAAGAAGATCCTGTTCCTAAGTAGCCCTCACTGACTGAACTGGTTTCAGTAACCTTGTAATGTAGTAAGAAACTGTTCTGTTGAGAAACAATGGTACTCAGTTCAATAAATTTTAAAACTTTTTTCTGTTGAATATTTACATACAGTTGTTTTTAAAGAGAAATCATAATTATAGAGGATATTTCTACCAATACTGAAAGATGACTTGCTTTAACTTGGAACAAAATATTTTAAAATATTTCCTCCAAAATGTTCACCAGTATGACATAATTGTCAGGAAGGTTTAAATAGTGAATAGATCACAGTTTACCAGCTGTGAATCTATAGACAGTGTCTACCTGTGACTGAGTTTTGTATGCATAAACATTGCAAAGTTAACATGCTCTGTGATATATCTGGAATAATGATCAAAGCAACAGGAAACCCATCTCATTCACCTGAAGTTGACATGAAAATATCTTTATATTTCACTCGAAGGTAATTATTCACATATTCATCAATATTTTTATTTTTTTCGAACATAAATTCCAGTACATTATTTCAAAATCTAAACAATAATTCTATTTTTTGTGTTTGTATTTGAAAGTAGTATGAGAGCTTACTTAACAAAATACCAACTTAGTATCATATATCTTCAGTTGAAATTAAGTTAAAATAGCTTTGCATAACTTGAAGGGACCACATGTTTGATACTAACTACTACAGAATATTTTTAGAAATTTGAACAAAGGTCACTCCTTATTCTGTGACCTGTATACATTACTAAATATGCCAATCTAACTTCATTTATAATTGTGTTTTCTGCTGCCATTACTGTTGTCAGTGATATTGCAAAGTAACGTAACTCCAAAGCAGTGGTGAGATAAGCAGTCACCTTCATATCAGTGCAGGTCAGCTACCCTTTGTTCAATGTTCTCTTGACAGGAGTTAAATGTTCTTTTTTTATATTCTTTTTGTTTTACCTTTAATTTGGTGACTGCTGAGAAAACAAGTTGTATGTCGAGATACCCGACTCGCTTACTTCTGGGCAGCAAGCGCCTGCTCTCAAATCTAGTTAGCTCATAGAACCCAGTGGACATTTGGTCCAAGATCATCAAAAAGATTATGTTTGGGACATTGTAGGACTAACATTGTGGCAGTTATGTCTGGTGTATATAAACAGCAGCTGACAGAATCGTGTTAACTGAACAGCAAGACTGCTTGATCCTCCTCACGTCACAGTGCTGACATTATGTACATAATCAGAAGGGAGCCTTTAGAATAACAAGACATGTTGATACTTAACTGATGTATCCCATCCCAAAGTCCATAGTTGGGAGCTGTATCCAGTTAGTCCAGATATCATTTGAGGAATATGTCAAGGAACTTACCAGGATAGTTGGAAGGGAATGCCCAGTCATAGATTCCTTAATGTGGAACTAGATGAGAACTGGTCAATGCTTTGTTCATTTAAAAGCAGAAAGTGATGGAGTCCTTGTGAAGACTAAATGATTAAAGCGAACTTGTATAGCAATTATATACAGTGTTTTATGTCCTCAGAAGGCATGAAATAATTCAGAGGATGAAAGAAAGTCCCATTGTGTATTATCAGGATGTGTCATTCTGTCACAGGGGCTGACACAGAAGCAGTGGCTGCTGCATATAAGTAACAGTTGTTTTGTTTATGTTTCAAGCAGTATGAAATTCTAATGTTACATGCATCTTAAAAGAAAATATCGAAATAAGTGATGTGTATTTTAGTGAATTTGATGTAGTGTGTCTCCACACAGAACAGGAACTGCTTGCATGGAGTGATCATGTGCTGCCTTTCCTACATCATAACGTGGACTTGCAGTAGAGATCGATTCATGGAGGTCGATTAAATTCTTGATGCTCAGGACTGTACAAACAAAATTGTACTGTTTAGAAAACTGTGGTATATGAACAAAACTTTTGGTTAGTTCTTTGGAAATTCACAAGTATGATCTCATTTCATGCTTTCCTTCCATGTTGTTAAAACCGAAGGTTGTGAATGTTTCTTTTGTTGATAAACACCAAGTGACTGTTCGTTGATATTGAATACAAAAAAAGATACATTTATTCCAAGCACACAAATCTATTTGATATATTGTTATGTCATTCAGATATCCGGCAGTATTTTGTTCACTTACGGTTTCCATAAAGACACCGCATTTATCAAAAATCATTGCACAGTGTATTTCAGTGTATGATAAAAAGCAGTGAAATATAGTGCTTTTTAATGCTTAACAAAATTTCAGACTACATATTGCAGTATCTACTTTTATAACTGCCTAAGTATTTGCATTTGAATTTACACCGTCGGATAGTAAATTTAATATCTACATATCTGTGTAACTTTATAGAGGAGAGGTGGACCCGCATAAATGCAATTCTTGCACCATGTTCACTTTCCAGGTTTTATGAAAATGTGCTTCAGAAACAAACTCAACATCCAGGGGCTTAAGCAGATGACTGTCATTTCAAATCAAATAGAGAAGAGATGTTTGTTCCATTGTGGGAAATACCATAATTCAACAGAATGCACATCACTGTACAAAATCATTGTCAAACTTTTTGTTATGTTCTGTCCATTTGCATGGTCAAGATGAGCAAACAAGGTCACCTGTGTATAGATGTTTAGGTCATAGGTTACTGGTTTGTAAAAGTAGAGGAGTTCAGATGTGTTATTCTATTGGTGTATTTAACTGTTGGATGTATTATACAGTTTCTGTAATATGCAATATCCAATCTTTACCACTTTTATATTTTGTTTTTATCAAATGCTGATTTCATCTGCTCTCACCTGTTACAAGTTCACTTTAGTTTCCTCTGTCCCAAGCGTTTTGTTTCCATTATCAAGTCGCATTCAGCTGTCTGTACCTGTTATATTTACAGCTGCAGTTTGTGTGTATATTCGTTAAGCTGCAGTTTGTGTATAGTACAGTACCGGTATTTTGATTGTCAGTTGCAAAACCAGCTAGCCGTGTGTCATATTATTGATGCAGGAGTATATTTTCCCTTTTTTCAAATACTGGATAATTTAGCCTGATCTTTGTAAATCTACACAAAAATGGAAGATGTTTGTGTTTGATTGAAATAAACATTTTCATTATTTTTTGTACCCTGCTGGTTAATATCTCCGAATGATACTAGTTACCGTTACCAGTACAGCTGTCATCCTTGTAATCTAAAACATACATCTTACAATCATTTTCTAATAATAATTCTGAATTCATCTGTTTTTCATGTACTGGTATTCATGGAAAATAGCATTTCTGTATTTAACCTTCAGTAAATCGAAACAAGCATATTTTGGTCTTTGTTTGCTGAAGTGTGTATATGGATATATTTTGGTCATTTTTTGGGGGGAGTCATGAAAAAATTACAGTTCTGTTTCTCTAGATAAGAAAATTATTAATTTGAACATTAGTAAGAGTCGTCCCTTTAATTATAGGGGTGGGAGTGTCTTGAAACATGACACTGCAGGGTAGTGGTTCTAGCTGTGTGGCAGTACAAGGTGTTATGCTGCTTATGTTAATCTCTGGACAAGCACCTGCTATATCTGCCTCTGTATTCCACCTGATGGTGTTTTGTTTTTATTTTATTATGTACCCTAGAAGCTGACCATTTGTATGTATAGTTTGAGGTAAGTGTTGCACAATGCTTTACTATTGTAAATATTGTTATTGTTCCTTCCCATAGAGATCCCGATTGGATCTGTTTATTGTGCAGTGACGTATGTGTATAATTTGTACAGTAGATACAGGGACTTGTATAGCAATGAAGTAATATTGTCCATGTTGTTTAATATAATGAATTGATTAGTAAATTATTGGAGATGTCATCTCTCTTTGAATTTGCTGTACACACCATTGTTTCCAAACTAGAAGCTGTGGAGCATTCTGTACTTTAAAACAAATAATCAAAAGCAGTTTGAATTACATCCATGAGATGGTTGAAGTGTTAATTCTTCGTTACAATTTTATCACGGTTTGTCATTACAGGATGCATCATCAGCACTACACTTAGATTTGCATAATAAATGAAAAAATCTCAGTTTTCATTTCGAGGATAATTGGAATATCACCTACATTTATTCATTATTAATGTGAGCGTTACTTTACTGAGCCTTGTAATGGTACGAATGCTTATGTGCCATTATGGTTGAAGGAATACAGAAGGCATTCAAGTGATTAAGAGCAGTGATATATTATCCTACACTTTTCCTGGTTCTTAGATATCCCAGATCACTATGTTCTTGTGAAGAAGCTGCTCTTTTGAGACTACCTATTCAGTAGGATGTTGCCCACACAGAATTGGAGCTATGCTATCAAGGTTTGACAGAAAACCCTTCATTGCTAAAGAATGAAAAGGTTTGTAAAAATGGTTTGAGAATGGCAAGTTATAATTGCCAGGTATTTAACAGTTTGTGCTGATGTTTTAGAAATATAACACAAAGCTGAATTATTAATGCAATACCTCAGTATATGCCTGGGTCCCATTGTATAATGTGATCTTAGCACAAGCCAATTGAAGTTACCTTGCCTTGGTCATGTTGAATCACTGTACAGTCCATTTCAGATTATGTCAGACACCTTATAATATGTATGATATCATTGCACAGACATGTAGAAACTATTGGAACTTAAACCTTTTAAAACTGTCTTTTTTCGGAATTTAAAAAAAAATTCAACATATTCTTCAAAAATAGCTAATCATATTGCTGATAGAAATGAAGATGGCTGTTATTAAACAATATAAATATTTAGCAGCACTGAGTCTATTCCTGACGTAGTTAGTCTTAGCTACACATATAAAGGTGAGATTTCTATACTAATGTAATACCCTAGACATATCACAGTGTATTGGGTGTGATGTTCAGAGAGCCTGCTATTTGCCTGGGTGTACCTCTGCTTCCATGTGTCAACATTGTGCCAGAAACGCCACTTGTCCACTTTGACTATAGAGATGCACTCCTGTTCTCCCAGACTTGCTGATCTACCTTCGGGGTCAAATCACACCAACGACTTAGCACTACAGTAGCAGTGCAGTGAGATATTGTGTACCAAGCAGCAACACAGGGGGCTGTTTCACAAAGCAATTGTATGCACGACAGTCGTAAGTCAGTGTTAAAGTATAGGAGTTACGATCACCTTAGTGCTATGATTGCTCTTTATGAAATTGGGCCCAGAACAATTTTTTTGTTGCTCTTGTTTTTTACACCTCCCACAGCAGTATTTCAGCTGTATGACGGCGGCCTGAACCAGACAATTCATTGTTAAAAACTGTGAGCATCATTCCAGGCCTAAGGGATACCAATGAGTTCAATCAACCAAGTAAGTTAGTTAGTTACACTTCACTTTGGACAAGTACTGACGACGAATGCCATCACAGCTGTTCATATGTGTATGTATGCATGTGTATAAAGGCATGGCGGACTCTCTCTTCAAGTATCAATGAGAGTTATCAATCCTTTGTGAGTATGGCAGACTCAGTTAAGT